GCAGCGCACGGCGCATGAGTGGCCACTCCTTCCCCATGCAGGCGCACACAGGCTTCCGATCCACCCAGTCTTCATGTGTGGAATGCTCTCTCGTGGGACAGAAGGAATCATTCATGAGGCCTGAATTTGGGAAGGGACGCAAATGCTTTCATTGATGCCCTCTGGAACGTTTCCGAGGGGGCATTTCATGGAGGGTTGCCCTGTGCCCGCCATCTTGCCACGCCAGCCAAGCAAGTCCTCCTCCCGAGAGTGTGAAGACCTCCCTCATGCAAACTGGGTGTGGGATCCCTGGCTGGACTGCACATTGCCAGGACCTGTGAGCAGAGTCCATGCTCGGAGCACAGATTTGCATGAAGGGGTGGTGCGTCCACCGTGAGGTGTTTAAGAGGCAAAGCGGGAGGCAGCCCGGCCAGGATTCCTTCCCTCCGGAACCCCGAGCTCCTCTAGAGTGGTCAGCATGGCCTGGGCTCTGCTCTTCTGGACCCTGCTCAGTTTTTGTGCAGGTAAGGCAGGAAAGACCACGTCACAGTGGCCCAGTGGGCAACAGAAACATTGGCAGCCTGCACACATCTTGGGAGATGAAGGCTTTTCCAGAACTGCAACGCTTGGGAAGGAGTAACACCTTTCCCCCTTTTTTGCCCAGGTCTCAGCACGCAACAAGTCCTCACTCAGCCTCCGTCGCAGTCCATGTCTCTGGGCCAAACCGTTAAACTCTCCTGCACTGGAAGTGGTGGCGGCAGCTGGAACTATTTCAGCTGGTACCGACATCTGCCTGGACAGGGCCCCAAATTCTTGCTGTATGGAAGCAGCAAGGGAGAAGGGATCCCGGATCGGTTCTCGGGTTCCAGCTCTGGGAACCCCAATAATCTAACCATCACCAATGCCCAGCCAGAGGATGAGGGGGATTAGTACTGTCGTGGCTGGGAAGACAACGGCAAGGTGTCTCACAGTGGTTGGTTCTGGTAGGGAACTGAGACAAAAATCGCCCTCTTGTTCCTCTTGCGAAAGAGCAAAAACTGGCAGACCGTTTAACCTGGCTGATGCTCACTGGGACACCCTGTGCTGGTCTGAAGGGAGGCCCGGCAAAGTCTCCCCTCTCGCCCTTTGGCACTACTGGGGATTCTGGGGTACTCCTGATCCTTTGCCACCCCTCCTTTCGTTCCCTCCTCAAATTGTGCAGCTCCAGCGCATGCAGGAGGAGGTCCGGTGTTTCAGGCATCCTGAGTCGTCCTATCCTGCCTCTGCCGCCTGGGGAACCATTCTGATGCACTCGAGCTCTCCCACTTTAGCTCTCCCAATACTTCGGAGCCTCACTGGCCGAGGCTTCGGCGAATGGGGCGGCATAGAAGTTCCCTAAATAAATACATACATACATACACACATACGTACATACATACATACATACTAGAAGTCTGCCTTTGCTGCCAACAGGGAAAACTGCTGTTTCTTCCATCCGATGACCTCAGACATACACAAAATCTCCTTGTTTCATCCATTCCTTTTCACCACATCCATTTTCCTCCAAGGAAGGTCATGCTTCCTGTTTTAGTATCATCAGCCCCAGGCTGGCAGCTAGAGGAGGGCAAGAGATCATGGTGTGTATTTCAGTATTTCTCCATGGAATTCTCTGGGTTCTCTCATTTCCTTCGGAAACAGCAGAAAAGGAGGAGCAGTTCTTCCCTTTACTTTCAGACTGGATTCGGATCTTTGCCACAGGAGATTCTCACTCAGCCCCCTTCCCAGTCTGTGTCTCCGGGTGGAGCTCCTAAACTTTCCTCCAGTGCAAGTGCTCCAGTGACTGGGAGTATTTCCATGG